GGGTGTAAAAAGGAGACATCTGTAATATTTTCAACAATATTCAAATAAAATAAAAAAATATATATTTGTTTTAAAAATTCTGATTATAGCCCTGGCCAGGTAGCTGCTCAGTTGGTTAGAGTGTCATTGTGATATGCCAAGGTTGTGGGTTCCATCTCCGATCAGGGCACATAACAAGAATCAACCAATGAATGCATAAATAAGTGGAACCACAAATCAATGTTTCTCTCTCTCTCTCTCTGTCTCTCTCTCTCTCCTTCCTCCTCCTCCTCTCTAAAATCAATCAATAAATAAAAAGTTTTAAAATTCTGATTATAGAATTGCTGTTTTTTCAGTTTTTTAAAAATTATGGTAAATATACATACAAAATTTACCATTTTAACTTTTTTTAATTTTCACCCGAGGGTATGTTTTTCATTGATTCTAGAAATTGAGGAAGGGCGAAGGAGAGAAAGAAAGAGAGAAACACTGATGTAAGAGAGAAAGATTCATCGGTTGCCTCCCGTATATACCCTAATGGGGATCGAACCCACAACCTGGGTGTGTGTGCCCTACTGGGACTCGAACCCACAACCTTTTGGTGTATGGGATGATGTTCCAACCAACTGAGCCACACTGGCCAGGGCACCATTTTAACTATTTTTAAGTGTACAATTCAATGGCATTAAGTGCCTTCACATTGTTGTGCATCCATCACCAGTATCCATCTCCAGAATTTTTTCATCTTCCCAAACTGAAACTCAGTGTTAAACAATAACTCCTAATTGCCCCCTTCCTTGCAACTCTTGGTAACACTATTCTACTTTCTGTCTCTAGGAATTTGACTGTTCTAGGCCCTTCATTTAAGTGGAATCATACAATATTTGTCCTTTTGTGTCTAGATTATTTCACTTAGCATAATGTCTTTGAAGTTCATCCACTTTGTGACATGTATCTTTTTAAGGCTGAATAATATTCCATTGTATGTATATAACACCTTTTGCTTATCCATTTGTCTGTCACTGGACGTTTGGGTTGTTGCACCTTTTGGCTAATTGTGAATAATGCTGCTATGAACATTGGTGTACAAATATCTGAGTTCCTGCTTTCAGTTGTTTGGGTATATATCTTGAAATGGAATTGCTAGATCATAGGTTGAAGCTTTTGAGTAACCACCGTAATGTTTTACATAGTGGCTGCACCATTTTATGTTCCCACCAGCAATGCATAAAGGTTCCAAGGAGAATGATATGGTTTTTTTGATAAAATTCTAGGAACCTAAAAATTGTAAAGTAGAAAATATAAATCACTTCAAATCTTATGCTCAGATTAATACTATCACATTTAATTTATTAAAATTTTAAAAATATTTTGTATGTATTGTTTTGTAACATGATTTTTAAAAAAGCGTAATGCAATGTAGATTATAGACATAGTGTTAAATAAATTCTGTGTTGTAAATATTCTAATACCTGCACTGTGTTTTGTTGTTTTGAAGTGACATTAAATAAATAATGTTACTTAATTTTTTAGTGTTGAACTTTTATACTATTTCTGTTTTTAAAACATAAAAAAATGCTGCCTTAAACATCTATGAATTGAAAGCCTTGTGTGCTTCTCTGATTATTTCCTTAAGATACATTCCTATAAGTGGAGTTATTTGAGATGTTTTTAAAGTATAAAAGAAAAACATCCATTTTCTTTTTCCCAGGCAGATACTCTTGGTATTTTGATATATGTCTATCCGTTATTTGTTCCTCTAAACTTGACCAGATTGCACTGTGCATATTAGTGATATCTTGCTATTTATTCAGTTAAGAGGTAGATGGCAGAGTTGAAGAACTTTTACTATGGTTATTTTTCAGTCTGCCCTTTGCTACATACTAGCTCTAATAGTAGAGTGACAAGATTAGGTTTTTTTCAAACTGTAAAGAAATGACTTTCTTAAATATGAGTCCTCCTCTACCCCCCCCCCCCAGCTTTACAAGTTATTTAAATATGAACATGAAAAAACAGTTACATAGGTTTTGGCTTTGCTCATTCCTCATTTTCACACTCTGAGGGTTATTAATAAATGGTAAGAATTTAAGTTATATTAAATGCTAACCGAAGCAGTCTTTACTTAGAGATTAAAATGAGGGTTTAAGAGATGCCACTGAACCTCAACTCAGTTCAGTGTGATAATTTTTTGGATTGCATATATTATTTTACTTAGTAAGACTTCAACTTGGTCAATGGGATATGACTTAAAAATAGCTGAACAATGAAATAGATAAATTTTATTTAAGAAGAGATGCTTATTTCAAATAATTGCTTTCATAATATTGTACCTGTTTCAAATAAACCTACCTCTCTATTGTTCTATCCACATGTTGAACTATATTTGAAGTGCCTCTTTGAAATTGCCTTCAGATAGTTTGTTACTTTGGATCTGATCTTCCATGGTGGCAAATCACTTTCCTTTCAGTGTTAACTTCAGTTTGTGATATTGTTAGAAAATGTGCTGTTTCTGAAGAATGGCACCTCCCATGCATCAGCTGTAAGCTTAGGAACACTGCAGTGTGATCCCCACTCAATTCATTGTGCTCTTGAGATATAGTTGCCATAATAAGCCCTGTGCATTTGTAGCCCCTTTGTTATGGATCGTTGAAATCATATATTTGACTTTTCAATCTCATTTCATGTAGTAAAGTCTTGTGTTGTATATGCCAGCATTAGAGGTGATATATTTTGAACAAAAACATTAAAATACCCGACTTATTACAATTAGCTGTACTTTTTTATATTTTTAGACAATCAGGATTTTGTCTAAGATGCGATATGACTTTGTACCATGGGTTGACATTAACATCTCTGTCAGGTAGGGTTTGATCAGAGAAGCAGAGGCCCTGTGAGTGATATAAGGGATTTATTATAGGGATTAAACCTTACGTGATTATGGGAAGTGGTTAAGCTCTTTATGTATGTTTGTGGTGTGCCTGGCACTGGGCCTGAAGTTGGCAGAAGCAGCAGTCAGAAAAGAAGATGTGGCGGGGAGTGCAAAAACCAACTGCTACCTATGAAGGTGAACTTATCTTTCTTACTAGAACCTGTATTAGTCTCTCATTGCCTCATACCTTCCAATTTGGATGATGCAGAAGACATGTCAAAGAGCTGGAGTACTTCACATGGCGTTGCATCCACCTGGCTGAGGCTTCAGAGAAGCTGAAGAAGGAGAACCAACAGGATCTGGAGGAGCTGCAGGCCCTGCTGTTTCCCCAGAGAAATTTAGCAGCAGCTGCAGTTGTGGGCCCAGCTGCTGCCCCATGCCAGTGAGGTCACCAGCCCTGACCTTATGCTGACCTTCTTAAATATGGAAAATATGGCCACTGCTTCACTTCTGCCTTCCAGATCTCTGGCAGAATTCTCTTTGCCCTAACCTAGAGCTGCTCCTGGGCACTATTTTAGCACACTAAATCCAGAGTTTCTTATTGAGTCCATACCAATATATTTAGCTTCCTTCAATATTATATTCCATCCACCCTGATTTAGTACCCTTAGGAGCTCTTCCCATATATATTCCCTAGGTTTCTGGTGATAGATACTGACAAATGCATCTCTGGTGTGTTTTGTGTCTTCTCATGGGTCGACCACTTTTGTATCTCATCCTCTAGAGCTTTCTGGGTCTTAAAGCTCTTAATGAGAGGTGGTGGTGGGGAGAGCCTTAGGGGGATTAGCAATCCCCTTCAAAACAACCACTTCAGACCATTATAGGCATTTCAGGCAGGAGAAGACTATTTCAGAAAGGGAAGGAAGGGCAAAAGAGACTTGGCAGATTTAGTGACTCAAGGTCTCTATTTTGTTGGAATCTGCCCAGGTGGTCCCATTCCAATTGCAGAGTGTCACTTTGTCCTAATCAATGCCTTAACTTTAATAGGATTACCTGCAAAGTTGGAAATTCAGTTTGCATTATATTTCAGCCATCTGCAGGATTTATACTTAGGGTTGGTATTTAGTAATCTGGACCTTATAGCCACAGGAGGTAACGTTTCTTTTAGGACAATCATAGCAACTTTGAGGTCCCTTTACTCTGATCCTGCATTTCTCTCCCAAAGTTCTCCAGCACATTTCAAAGCAGCCAATCATTCCCATTATTTTCACCAAAATGTTCTGTGACAGGAAACACTTGGCCACTGAAGGGTTAAGTATCTCTAGATACTTAATTACTGGTGTCTATAGATTATAATTTAAATAACTTTATCTATTGCATACCATGGAGTACCATTGCCTCTTTTATTACTGCAAACAAAGGACATTCATATCTTTAAATCTAATCAGATCAGAGACCCAATCTCTGGTGGCCCAGAAGCAGTTCAGAGAACCCACCCTTAAGTTTCTGTTCATCTGGAACAGCACTGGGTGTTGGTTAGGTTTCAATCAGATGTAAGGGATTTATTATGGGGATTAGTCCCTGCCTTATCACAGGAGCAGGTTAAGCAGTCCACTGCTGGTCCTGAAGTCAGTTTTCCCAGCATTAGGGATGGAAAGATAGATGTGAAGTGTGGACAGGTAAGGATCAGCTGAAACCCACAAGGACAATGTGGAACCCGCTTGTTTCTCACTGCGACTTATGTTGATATGTCACTGCCAACAAGGCTCTGACTCCCGGGATGCTGGTACCTTGCGGAAGAGCTGGTGTACTTGCTACAGGAAGTTGGTAAAGAATTCAGAGAAGCTGTGGGCCAAGCTATTGCCCCAAGGAGAATCGTCAGGGGCTGGAGGAACTGGCTTCTACTCCATGCCAACAAGGTGAGCCAGAAGATCCATGACGACATGAGTGCGCTGCAACAGCATTTGACTTTATGCCAACCATCTGAATGTAAATCTGTCTATTTTTCCCACTTTCCCAGTCTCATGCAGAGTTCACTTGCGGCCAATCCTTACCCAGAATCCTACAGGGAAGGGAATTCTGGCAGTTGGTACAATACAAAGTCGCCATAACATTTTATTTTAAATCATAGCCATAAGACTTTATCTCATGAAAAGGCTTTCAAAGTGGACACTGAATAATGCAGGCAGATATTTGGAAGCACCAAGGACATCTTTAAATTTTTTCCAGCTTCTGTTGATGTGATGTCAAAAGGAATCTCACTTGGACTTTGTTTGATTAGAATCATCCATTAAGGCTTCTTTATAAATTAGTTATGATGGGGTTGTAATGCCAATTCCAATAGCACGCTTGATTTATTTTTTTACTTTTTCCATCATCTTGTTTATAATCATCCAATCCTTATCATGCCACCATGTGAGCCCAAATGTGAATGTTTTTGTGAAGTAATAGCTAAGAAGTTAGGGGACTACTTTTAAATCGCTTGCTTTTGCTTCATAGTCGGATCATTACTTGATTTAGGAGATTTTTGGACCAATGCCCTACAACATAATTAAAATAGATATCATTTATTAAGTGCATAACTGTGTATCAGGTACTGTATCGAGAACCTTCAATATGTTATCTCACTTAATTCTTTACAATAGTGCTTTGAAAACTAGATATTATCCTCATTTTACAGATGGGGAAATTGATGCTCAGTTAAGTACCTTGCCTGAAGTCACTCAGCAGGTAAGGGGAGGACCTGAGATTTAAGTCAGGTCTGTGTGACTCCACAACAAATGTTCTTAACCTCTCTGCAACACTTGTAAGTTTGTCTGTGATTTAGATGGTAAGAAATATCCAAAAATCCATAGGGAAGTCTAAAATTGTAATTGACTCTGTGTAGTCATTGAATCTTTTTCCGTCTCTCATAGCTCTAACCGAGGAATTGGACTCTGTGAACAACGAGCTACATGCAGTAGACATTCAAATTCAGGATCTTCTGGAAAGGCAACAAGAGCTTACTCAGAAAAGAAACACCCTAACAAAGAGAATAAAGCAGTGTTTGGAAGATTCTGATGCTGGGGGAAGCAATGAATGTGATTCTTCACCTGCCTCTTGGAATAAAGAAGGTTTACTCTTTTTTTTTTTTCTTTGCTAGTTTTTTTCTTCTTGTTTCTTTAAACTGGAGTCAAATCATTGTGCCTGGGTCAGTACTTTTCAGTAGGCTTAGAGGTATAACTGGCCATTCCTTACTTGGCATGGGAAACTTATAGGCAGACCATTCTTTATTCATATTCTGTAGTCTTTTTGAATTAAGCTTCTATTATTCAGACTTTATTATTTTTTCCAATATTTTAACTAAATTTTCACTAGAAAAATTAAACAATTAAAAAAACCTCAAACTTTTTGCCAAAGTCTAGTTCATTTTCCTGCTCTAGTAAACAAACCTTTTTTGATTTAAGATCCTGCCAAGCATCATGCGTATCATTAATTATAGTGGAACACACAGAAAGACAGATATCATATGATTTCACTTATATGTGGAATCTAAAAAAACCAAAACAGAAATAGACTCATAAATGCAGAGAACAAACTGAGGGTTGCCAGATGGAACAGGGGTTTGGGGAATGGGTGAAAAGGTGAAGGAATTAAGAAGTACAAATTGGCAGTTACAAAATAGTCACAGGGATGTAAAGTTCAGCATAGGGAATATAGTCAGTTGCATTATAATAACTGTATGGTGCCAAGTGGGTTCTAGACTTATGGAGGGATCATTTGTAAGTTATATAAATGTCTCACAACTATGCTGTACACTTGAAATTAATATAATATTGAATTTCAACTGTAATTGAAAAATAAACATTGGTGAACGACCAAAAAATGTAATAAAAGGAGTAGTTTAACTTGAGAACGAATTGCACTGCTTTTGTGGGCCTTGTTTTCTAGTGATTCACTTCTAAACAAAATATTTACACCAAAAATTCCAGGTAATTGTTAACTTTGTTCATGATATTTGAGTTTTTTTATGATACTTTGAATTCCTTAGTTGACAGTCACATGGTTTTTCAAATATCTGATCAAGCAACTTCTTTTGTGTAGGTTAATCCTCAACTGGCAAATGCTTTGAATTTTTTCTTTTTCTGATGTACTAGGTTTTTTCTGATGTACTATTACTTACAATATATCATTAAATTTGTTTTTGCTTTAGCTTAGTGAATTAAACTAATCTTAAAATTGTTATTATGAAAGTTAAATTTTCCATAGTATTAAAAGTCTCATGTATATTTATCTGATCCTGCTCTATTATAAAAGCAGCCATGCGTATGTGCCTCATTATAAACCTAAATGATCTAATGTATTTAGCTTATTTTTCTCTTTGTAGATTTTCCATGGTCTAATAAAGTTAAAGATGTTCTGCACAATGTCTTTAAACTGGAGAAGTTCAGACGGCTTCAGCTCGAAACTATTAATGTAACAATGTCTGGAAAGGATGTATTCCTTGTTATGCCTACAGGAGGTGGAAAGAGCTTATGCTACCAGTTACCAGCATTATGTTCAGATGGTATGTATTAATAAAGATGTTTTTAAATTGAAGAAATGTTATTTCTCTTAATATATATATATTTAAGTATTTTTTATTGATTTTAGAGAGAGAGAGAGAGAAAAACATAGATCAGCTGCCTCCCGTACACACCAGACTGGGGCCTGAACCCGCAACCTGGGCACGTGCACTAACCAGGAATTGAACCGATGACCTTTTATTGCACTGAACAATGCTCATCCAACTGAGCCATGCCAGCTAGGGTTCTCTTAATATATTTTTGAGTGTTTTAAAAAAGTTAAATAGTTCTGCCCTCTTCCTGAGGTTGTTTTAAGGAACAAACTATAGAAACATGAAGTCATATATTTTTAACCATGTAGAGTACTCTTATAGCTGTCAACAATTTCAATTATAAGAGAAAGGGGATAACTTCATTTAGTCAATAAACTATTCACTGATTTCTACTCAGAGTAAATTAATCTGGTGCATTAAGTGGACGAGCGCCAATGTAACATTTTCAACTCTACAGATTGCTATAGTTTTTTTTTGTGGGGGGGAGGATTTGGAATAAATTTTTCCTGATGTAATTGGATAGTATTTGACTTGATTTATATTATTTCACTGAGATTACCAAAAATTCAAGGTGATAATACCTATCTTTATTTTTGTAGGACTGAATAAGGGAAGAGATTTCTGCTTAATCTTATATTTGCTTATTTGGCTTAGGATCATTTATTTGTATCTTCCTCCTTTATTAATGAGGGTAAGAAATAGTATATTGCTAAAGCTGCATTGGAAATTAGTCTGAATTGATGGGTGGTGCCCACAAGTTATGGTAAAGAAGGTGACTGGTTGAAACTTGTTCTGGTGGTGGTATAAAATTTAAAGTAGATTTTTCTCTCTTTCAGGTTTTACACTCGTGATTTGCCCATTGATCTCTCTTATGGAAGACCAATTAATGGTTTTAAAACAATTAGAAATTTCAGCTACCATGTTAAATGCTTCTAGTTCTAAGGTATAGTTCTGTATTTGTTTTGTTTTGTTTGTGTTTTTAACTCTTCACTGAAATAGGAGATTTAGCTCCAATTGAGTTGCTTATAAAATTAAAACTGATTTGCTATTTATATCAGGAGTTGCAAACTACTGCTAATGGGACATTTCTAGCCCACTGCCTATTTTGTATGGTTCATGAGTTAAGATTGATTTTTATATTTTCAAGTGATTAAAAAAATAACATTTTTTGAAGTGTGAAAATTATATGAAATTGAGATTTTAGTAACCATAAATAAAGTTTCATTGGAACATAACCATGCTCGCTCATTACATGTTGTCTATAACTTTGCACACTATAATGTCAGAGTTGAGCAGTTGTGATAGAGCCTGTATGGTTCACAAAACCTAACATTTGCTATCTGGCACTTTACAGGAAGTATTTGCTGACCCGTTTTGTATTGTCCGTTATAAAATAGCAAGGATTTTTAATTGTGTAATATAATTAAATACAAAAAAAATGAATGACTAACAGGATACCCTACTCATATGGAATTTCTCCTGTTTGGGAATGGGCTCTCATACCTTCATCTGCAGAATAAAGCATTTCCCAACTATTCTTTTTTAAAAAGCATATTATTAAAATTTTCAAAAGCATATAAAAGTAGAGAATAGTATAAAAACTGTCATATACCCATTAACTACCTTTAATGCTTATCAAATTATGGCCCCTCTTTCTTCATCTATCCACCTCCAATTTTCCTTACCTCCTTTCTCTTGATTTATTTATTTGAAACAAACCCCAGACATCATATTATTTTATTTGAACTTCTTCGATATTTTAAATCAATTCCTTAAAATCATCAAATAAAAATACTCAGCTTTCTCTGTCTCATCAAATCGTATATATATATGATATATATTTATTATAATATAAATATATATTTATTATATAGATTATTTATTTATTTATGTATTTATTTAAAATCATGGTCTAGATCAGATTTATTCATGATGTTGTATTTGGTTGATATATCCATAGATTCCCCTATTGCTTTTTTGCTTCTTGTGCAAATTATTTGTTGTAGAAACCAGGTCCTTTGTCCTGTAGTTTTCTACACTCCGAATTTTCCTGATTGTATCCTTGTGAAGTTGTTTAACTTGTTAGATCTAAAAGCTTTATTGGATTTAGATTTGGATTTTTTTTTTTTTTTTTGCAAGGGTATGTTTCCTATGGCATCAGTCAGGAGTAATACCTTGTTATTTTTTGGGATGTTAATCTTGATCAGTGGGTTCAGGTAATGTCTGCCTGCTCTGTAATCAATTTCTCTGTCAGCTTATCATCTAGTGGTTTTGGCAGCCACTGATGATTATTTCTTACCTCAGAGCTGCTATTTAATTAGGGGGTTACAAAATGATAGTTTCTAATTCTATCACTCCTTTATATATTAGCTAAACTTTTTCTGTAAAGAACTTTTTTCTTATTAACTTTTTACAGATTGAAAATTCTTTTCTTTACCAGTTTTCATAAAGAGTTGGTTTCCAGCATTTTTCAAAGGTAGTTAATAAAGTCTTCCCCCCCCAAGATTATGAGTAGATTTGACAGCATTATTAAAGTAGGTAATCAAGAATATATTGTGTTCACAGAGATATGTAGTGATTACAAATATAATGTTAAAATTAATAACACCTTTATAACCATAGTTATTGCACTTAGATCACATTTTGGCACTTATTACGAACAATCTAGAATTATGCCTTCATAGAATAAGTGCTTATTAAAATAATTTGACATTCATTTCTTGTTATTTTTTTGTCAAATGAGATTATACTTTTATCAACAGTTTGGGTATAAGTAAATAGCCCAAATTCTATTTACACAGCTGTCGTGAAGTTTAGTACTGGAACATGGTTTCAGTTTTAATGAACTAAATATCTGCTGTTAAACAGCCCAGGGCTATTGCTTTTGAGTAATGAGCATCTTCATTGACCACTTAGTATTGCAGCCCACTAGCTTAGTTCTATTGTCATTGTGTCTGTTTTTTCTTTCAATAGGAGCATGTGAAATGGGTTCATGCTGAAATGGTAAATAAAAACTCCAAGCTAAAGCTAATTTATGTGACTCCAGAGAAAATTGCAAAAAGCAAAATGTTTATGTCAAGACTAGAGAAAGCCTATGAAGCAAAGAGACTTACACGAATAGCTGTGGATGAAGTTCACTGCTGTAGTCACTGGGGTCATGATTTCAGACCTGGTATGTATGTTGTATCTGGAAAACTTGGATGCTGGGGACTATTTTCTTACACAGCTTTATATGATGGAAAATTCCTGCTTCCATTAAAATTATCCTCTTGGGTAGTTATTACTCCTTTTCTCTTACCTTAATATAAGGAGAGCCAAGACGCAAAATCTTTAATCTCTTTTACTCCCTCCAAGGTAGTGTTTAGCCTAATTGCCTTTATCCTTTAAAGCATATATCTGTTAGCAAATACACTGTTCCACCTTTAGCCGTAAAGATTTACTGATCTAGGTTCTTCACATCTGGTGAGGAATTCACATCTGCTTCAGAGTTTTCGTTAGCATCCACTTCAGGACGTACACCTAACTAACTCGTCAGTGGTAAAGTTCTATCGGATATTTTAGTAACCCTTTTCTTTACTCTATCCTAATTCTACCATCATAGCCTGAAGCAGGTTACTCAGACTTGTTCTGTGTAAAAAAATCTTAAGTTAAAAAAATTTTGCTCTATGATTTCAACCTTTTACTTTCACACTCATATGGACCCCTGAGTTCCTGAGTTTATTGAATCACACTCCCTCCTCCACCACCCTACTCAGAGGTCACCGAGGACCCCACTTCCCACTGGGTAAATCCAGTGGTCTCATCTTCATTCCTCTTCCACTTAACTTCAACAGCATTTTATACTGTTCACCTCTCACCTTTACACTTTCCTCTCCTTTGGTTATTATGATTTTTTCCCCTCCCCATTCTCACTTCATTTTTCTTCCTTTGCCACCTCCTTAAATATTATTGTTGCCTTTGTCTCTGATCTGTCTTCACTTTTTCTTACACTTCCCCAGGGATAGTAGACTCATGGCCTGAAGACAGTTCTCTACCTTCAGAAATATTTGGGGCACAGGTATTTTTAAAAAATTTGGTTTAAATGCCTTAGGCTGTATGTATAGGTGTTCTACTGAGGGCCCTTCTATCTTAACCAGACTACTTCACAGAGTTGTAATTTACTGTTTGGATTCCTGTAGCTTTGTAGTATCATTTGAAATCCAGAAATGTGACACTTTCAACTTTGTTCTTCTTTCTCAAGATTGCTTTGGCTATTTGGGGGTCTCTTGTAGTTCCAAATAAATTTTAGAATTATTTGTTCTAAGTATTTTGAAAAATGCCACTGGTATTTTGATAAGGGATTGCATTGACTCTGCAGATTGCTTAGGGTAGTATTGACATAACAATATTAATTATTCTATTCGTGAGTACGGTGTATACTTCTATTTATTTGTGTTTTGTTCAGTTTCTTTCATTAATGCTTTATCGTTTCAGTTGTATAGGTCTTTCACCACCTTGGATAAATATATTTCTAGGTTATTTTATTATTTTTATGCAACTGTAAATGGGATTATTTTCTTAATTTCTCTTTCTGACATTTGTTATTAGTGTGTAGAAACACAACTTATTTTTGTATGTTGATTTTGTATTCTGCAACTACTGAATTTATTAGTTTTAATAGTGTTTTGGTGTAATCTGTAGGATTTTCTATGTATAATAACATGTTATCTGAAAATAGTAACAGTTTTACTTCTGTTAAAATTTGGATGCCTTTTTTTTTTCTTGCCTAATTGCTCTGGCTAGGACTTCCAATACTATGTTGAATAAAAGTGGGGAGAGTGGGCACCCTTGCCTTGTTCATGGTCTTAGAGGGAAAGCTTTCAGTTCTAACTTGGAACCATATAGGAAATATAGTTTCCTGCTTACTGGTGTGCAGTAGATCCAAGCAGCACATTCCTCTGTGATTTAGCCTCACTGAACTGCTTGCTGTTATCTCAGCCCCGCTGAGTAAGTTTCATGCCAGTGTGTCTGCAGTCTTCATGGTGTTTCCTCTGCCTGATGTTTTCCTCATCCCTTCCTAAGAACTTCTGCTTATTCTTCAAGACCCAACTCAAATGTTAGCTCCTTCAAACCTTCACAATTTCCCAAGTGGCTACTCTCTCCTCTGTAGTTTCATTGCCACTCATGGATGTTCCTGGTGATAGAAGGGTTTAGGCTGATGGCCTCTTTTATCTCGTCAGTTGTAATAGACTCAAACACTATGGCTACTCTCACTGCCTCTTAAATCCCCAGTTCAGCAGGTGTAGGCCAGTGCATAGCTTACTGCAAATGTTAAGTATTCACTCTCTTCAACAGGGAGTTCCACCCGTGACCAAGAACAGTGTTTTCCAAGAACCAGTTAAAAGTATAATAAAACCAATCTATGCAAAAAGGCTAGGCTGCAACTGCAGATTTCCTGAGATAGCTAGCTATGGAAATCAAATTACAGTAATCCTTGATGATTTCCATCATGTTAAAAGGCTTCATTTACACTGTTCCTTAAAGGATAGAAACAGGGCCACTTTGTATATTCTTTTTCCAGATTATAAGGCACTTGGTATCTTAAAGCGGCAGTTCCCGAACACAGCACTGATTGGGCTGACTGCAACTGCAACAAGTCATGTTTTGAAGGATGCTCAGAAAATATTGTGTGTTGAGAAGTGTTTTACTTTTACAGCTTCTTTTAATCGGCCAAATCTTTATTACGAGGTATGTAACTTGTATATCAACTAACAGCTTCTGTGAAGGGTTGTGGCAGAGAGGTTACCTTTTCCTTGGTTATTTACATGAGTAACAATTATTTTTCTTTCTTTTTAATCCTTTTAAGAATAGACTTAATATTTTTTTAGTTTTCATTGAATAGTTATGCCGTGGTTTATGTTTTTATAAAAGTAGCCCCAGAAAATAAAGTCTCAGTCTTTACAAGTTATTCACTGAGTCTGTGCCTCCTCAGCTCTGGTAAATTAAAAACTAAGGATGAAGGAGCTGGGAGGCGGTGAGGTGAGGCAGACGGAGTGAGTCAGAGGAGGGGCGTGAAAGAACCAGAGAGAAAACAGTGTTCATGAAAGAAGGCACCTTGCAAGTTGTACGTAAGTGACTACTTGGATGGAACTCATTAATTTACTTTTTAATAAGTTAGCTTTCTTTAGGTTCGTCAAAAGCCTTCAAACACTGAAGATTTTATTGAGGATGTTGTAAAGGTCATTAATGGGAGATACAAAGGGCAATCAGGTAATAAAATAACAAACCCACTTTGAAGACTTGAGAGAGAACTTTCAAAAAGTAACTGATATTACACTGATATATTAATTAATGATTAGCACCAAAAAATATTAATGCATGGCAGAAGATACTTGAGCATGTTACAGTGATAAAATTAATTTGCTTGGCCATCTTAGAAACTGGGTGTGGCACTTGCTAACAGCACAGATTATGAGTCACAAAATTGTCTGATTTATTTTTGCTTATTTACACTTAACTGCTTTAAGGAAGGCACCTATTGACATAATGTTAATTTTCAATAGCACATATTCAGTAAGCATCTACTGTGTAAAAGATAGAAAGTTAAGCACTGATGATCTAAAGGGTTATAAAATTTAGTCCCTTATAGTAAATGACACATTAAAGAAAGAAATAGAACATATTGAATGAGTTAAGTATATAGATGGAATTGAGAGTATATGTAAATATATTTCAAGATTAACGAACAGGCAGAGAGAAAAGAGGCAATGGGATCAAACACCTGTGGCTCAGGGCTCATTTCTGCTTTAGATCAAGCTGGTGATCAAATTGTGAATTATACCAAAAAGTCAATATGGGTTCAGAGCCTTGAAATTTTTCATAAATCCTTTCCCCCCATGTATTGTATTAATCACTATCTTGAGTGTTAAAAATTCTCTTCCAGGAATATGTTTTCTTTATATATATATATATAACAGTTGGACATATTTTATTACAGGAATCATATATTGTTTTTCTCAGAAGGACTCTGAGCAAGTTACAGTTAGTTTACAGAAATTGGGAATTCGTGCAGGTGCATACCATGCCAATATGGAACCAGAAGATAAGACCAAGGTTCATACAAGATGGTCAGCCAATGAAATTCAGGTTCAGTATATATCTTCAATAAAAGCTGAATTCATTTCTAAGAATATTTTCGTTTGACTTAATTAACATATAAAATGTTAAAACATTTTAGGTAGTGGTAGCAACGGTTGCATTTGGTATGGGAATTGATAAGCCAGATGTGAGATTTGTTATTCATCATTCAATGAGTAAATCTATGGAAAATTATTACCAAGAGAGTGGACGTGCAGGTATGTATAACTCAAATCCAGAAGTCATTTTAAAAAAAGCTTTTTTAGAAAAAACACTCTAAGTGATGTTTAACAATTCTGTATTTTTAATCTTTGGCTGCTATTTTTAGAATAAACAATTAAGTCTTTTTCACAGTTTTATACTTATTTGCCTATGGAGAAATTTTACTTGTTCTATTAGAGGGTTATGAATTGTTTCTTCTGTTTGCTAAGATAATTTGATATCCATTTTAGCCTCCTGAATTTTTAATTAGTGGTTTCAACTCCATAACTTAAATAACTGGATTACTTATGGACACATATTTTTTTTAATCCTTACCCGAGGATACATTTTCATTGATTTTAGAGAAAGAAGAATGGGGAGAGAGAGATATCGATCCGTTGTCTCCTGTACGCTCCCCGACCGGGGATTGAACCTGAACCTTTTGGTGTACAGGGCAATGTTTCAGCCAACTGAGCCACCTGGCCAGGGCTGGACACATTTTTTTTTATTGGTAAAACTGAATGTTGATAAATCTTCTAGTCATTTTTTTAAAAAATTTGAGGGAAGTTGTTACAAATTAACTTTCACATTTCTGTCTGAAATTTCTAGATGTATTATACTTAGACAATGAAGCATGGCCAGCTGATTTCACATGTATTATTTTTGCTTGCTTTGAATTTTTAAAGTAATTATGCAATCCCACGATCTTTCCTACTACAGGTCGAGATGACACGAAAGCAGACTGTATTTTATACTATGGCTTTGGAGACATATTCAGAATCAGTTCAATGGTGGTGATGGAAAATGTGGGGCAACAGAAGCTTTATGAGATGGTGTCATACTGTCAAAACATAAGCAAGTAAGCCACATGCCTTTTCATAACTTTTTTCAGTTAAAGACAAACACAGTGTGAAAGTATATGATATTACTTGGAGTACTTAGGAAAGTCAGTAAATACACTGGTAGAACATCAAGTACAAACATGTAAAAGCAGGTGTCTGAAGGGTAAGAACCAGTATGTGAACCCACAGGATTTGCCTTAATCCAAGAAAAGATATTCTCTCTCTCTAATTCTTCAAAACTGTTTTATTGAAGGGTCTAATACAGATAGTGAGTTCAAGCTTTTTTTTCTCTGGCACTGGTGTGTAGCTGTTTCCTTTAACAATTTTGTACAGGTGTTTAAGAGGCGTTTTGAGAGTTGAGCTTAGAAACAAATACCAACCATACTACTAGCTGATGGGTTGATGAAATAATTGAGAGCAGGGTCAAGTTTCTCAAGAAATAAATTAAAATCTATTTAGGGTGGATTTAGTTAGACCATATAGCTTCCTGATGGCTTTTCTGTCACAGTCATCTTTGTACTTTTATTACCCATCACATAAAAATGACTCAAAAATTTTGAAATAAGCAGTAACCAGACAGTGCCAGAAAATGTATTTCTTTCTTATAGATGCTACAATAATCTAGTTAAAGAAATGAGAAAAAAATTTCTTAGATGTCCAGTAGACCCCCATGAAGCATATTTTGGGGTTTAGACTCAAATGGATTCTATAAAATACAAGAAACTGCTATCAGGAAGATTTTTTTTAAATAGTAAAATATTGAATCTCAAAGTGAATCTTGGACAACTTTTAAAAGCTGTTTATTAAGTACATATGGAAAAAACTATATGTGATGGGCAGACTAATGGTCCCCACAGATGTCCACATCCAAATTCCTAGAACTTGTGAGTGTATTACTATACAAGGCAAAAGGGACTTAAGGTTACAAATGGAATTAAGGTTGCTAATCAGCAGATCTTAAAATAGGGAGATTAGCTTGGATTATTTGGGTGGGCCCAGTATAATCACAAGGGTCCTTAAATGTGGAAGGAGGCAGAAAGAGGGTAGGGGTCAGAGTGATGTGATGTGAAGACTCAACCCACTGTGCTTGGCTTTAAAGGGGAAGGAAAGAGGGTCATGAGCCAAAGAATGCAGGTAGTCTCTAGAAACTGGAAAGGCAAGAAAACAGATTCTATCCTAGAGCCTCCAGAAGAAATACATTCCTGCTGACACCTTGATTTTACTCCAGTGAGACCGACGTCAGACTTTTAGCCTATAGAAATGTAACATAATAAATTTGTGTTTTAAGCCACTAAATTTGTGGTAATGATATGGCAGCAATAGGAAATTAATACAATTTATAATCCTGTATTTTGAAGTAGAGATTCTTCAAACGTTATTCGTTTACTTAAGTTGTATCTCTAAATGTGTTGGCAGATGTCGCCGTGTATTGATAGCTCAACACTTTGATGAAGTATGGAACTCAGAAGCGTGTAACAAAATGTGTGATAATTGCTGTAAAGACATTTGTGAGTTCATTGTTTTTTAAATCTTTATAGGCTAATATATATGGGTAGGGCTACATAAAGGCATGTCATCTGAAAGTAGATTTAAAAGATTGAATGAGGTGTGAATAGAATTTTCCAGATTGAAAAATAACATGGTTTTGAAACAAAGGCAAATAAAAGGAAAAGCCATGTGTGTATGTTTTATGTTGCTATTACTGAGGGCATGTGAAATTTTTAAGAAATTAAGGAAAAAGTTTAAATTATTTGAATACAAATGCTATTTATATAAAAAAACGGCTTAACCTCATGATAATATCAAATACTTTATAGCAACAGATTAGGAAAAGAAACTGATAGTGAATCGTTTTTGGTGTAGATAATGGCTAATTACTCATAAGACACTGACTTACCAGTGTTTTAAAACTATATTTTAACTTTATTTCATTCTGTGTATGGGTGTTATATTCGAAGAGCTGGACTAACCAGTTCTTCACTGAGTTCTGATGCCTTGGTGGATGAAGGTCACTACAATTTTAACTTTACAGCTAGAGAAACTTACTTGTATAAGTTTACTAGACTGTATTTTGCTGACCAAATTCACAAGAGTCTGATATATTAAATAGAGTGCTAGTATCAATTAATAACTGGGGATTCTCTGTCCAGGACACTCTTGTCTCTAAATCTGACTAGCTATGAAGCCGTACTAGTTTTCATGGTATTGCTTAATGAGCACACATCAGGTAAATATGCAGAATAGATGGACTCAACTATAACCACCTCTTAGTATCTGCGTCATCACGTCTGGCAGACACTTTGGTTCCTAGAGTATACCCAAAGGCCTTCTGGTACTAGGTTATTTTCTTTACATCACTGTAAATCCCAGTGATATAAACTTAGTTCAGTGCTAGAGACTTGGGGGAATAGCCTAGTTTTAATTCAGAACACATTAATAAATCAGTGTGGAGGGTGGCTCACATTGATGACTTGTTTTTAAACCAGTTTAACCACTTAGAAGATCTTGGCCCTAATTTCTAAATCCCAATTGCCTGTAACCATGTCTGTTTCATTATAGCATTTGAAAGAAAGAATGTAACAGCCTACTGCAGAGATCTAGTCAAAATCCTGCAGCAGGCAGAGGAAATGAATGAAAAGCTCACGCCACTAAAACTGATCGATTCTTGGTTGGGAAAGGGAGCAGCAAAATTGAGAGTAGCAGGTGTTGTTCCTCCCACACTACCTCGTGAAGACCTGGAGAAAATCATTGCGCACTTTCTTCTGCAGCAGTATCTTAAGTATATACAAACCCATTTCTTGTCCTTTCATGTTGTCTTTAAACAGTACACTATATTTTTATTCATGGAATAAGTATATTTTCTTCCAAAAAGATTACTGTGGAGAAAAACTCTAATTTGGATATATAACAATAACAATAATTATAGAATACTTTACATATTCTATTTTACATATATTACCTCATTTAATCTTAGCAACATGGTGAACTGAGAATAGACATTCTCATTATCTTACTTTTAGAGACAAGGAATCTCAGATTTTACAGGCATTAGTTATATCTCAGTAGAGCCATAAATAGGAGATATGTTAAACTTAAGAAGAAATAATAAAATGCCTAAAACCAGTACCATAAGAATAATGGTTTACTCAATCACAAGAATCAAAAATTGGCAAAGTAAAATATTTCTTTCCTCAGAACATCATGCATCTTTATTGACTGTTTCTCATTTTTATAATTGCCTCAAAACAAATGGTTTGGTGGTTGTTTCATGTGAACTTTAAACACTATACAAAATTTACTTAATAAACTCCAACTATAATTGATCACTGTCCCTATCAAAAAAAGCACAAAACTAAAATACTTTCTATAAAGATAAATTGCATTTTTATAGTGTATCTTTCATAATTTCATATCAGTATATTAAAATTATTGCACTTATGGATTTTATAAACTTCAGTTTGTTTTCTCTAACTCCTCAAAACCTCTCTGATTGGTGGCCTTTATCTTTTGCAGAGAAGACTACAGTTTTACAGCTTATGCCACCATTTCGTATTTGAAAATAGGACCTAAAGCTAATCTTCTGAACAATGAGGCACATGTTATTACTATGCAAGTAAAGACGTCCACACAGACCTGTTTCAGGGTAACTACTAATTTTCAAATATTTAAAAAATACATTAAAGCCTACAGATGCTTTTAACTAGTACTCTTCTAGGTCCAGTTGAACATAAGAAGAGGTAAGTCAGTGTTCTTAGAATTGGGGTATGGAAGACATTAAGTGGGAGAATTTAGCCTTTTAATATAGACTAGGAATTTCTAACCTTTTGGAATGTGAAGACTCCACTGTAATGTCTAATTTTGTGATGCACCCAGCCCTCATGATATTGGCTGTGATCAGTGTTGGTTGAGAAGTTTGCGTCTGTGGCAGAGGTTGAGCAGCAGTTATAAACAAGCCTATCAAGCCTGCAAAAGCATGCCATGTACAGTTGTGCCTAAGGACACTTCATGTGTTCTTTAGGGTTTCTTTGACAGCACAAACCTACCCTTCTATTCAAGATGGGACTCATATTTGAGTAGAAATCTGAAAAAGAAAAACCAGACCACTGGATACTTAAAAAACTGATATAGGACTATTGAGACTGAATCTCATGAGAAAACAGAATAGCTGAATTTTAACCAGTGTTTGCTTTGTTATTGTTTTGTAGATTGAATCATCTCAAACTTGTCATTCTGAAGGCTCTGATAAAAAGAGGGAAGAAAAAAATTCGAGTAACTTACAGAAGAGATCTGCAAACATGCTTCAGCAATCTGATTCTAAGAATAGAGGGGCTAAGAAAAGAAAAATTGATGATGCATGAGTGTTTCTAAATTTTCCAAGAAAATAACGTTTTTTTTGCATGCATGCACCATTATTTTTGTAGTTAATCAGAAGTTAAAATTTTAAGACACTTTCATTAATATTTTATACACATGGAGCTAGCTATATTTTAACAACTCTCTAAAGTACTGAAGACTTGAGAATTTGAGACCTTTTGAAAATTTAGAGCATGAATTACATACACTTACAGTGTGAAATGAGGGAAAAGTGTTTTAATGTAAAGTCCTTTAAATGTAAAATACTTAAGAGAGTAATTTCACATAACTATCTTAAGCTCTTTATGCCTTGTATTTTTCTTTTTACATAAGTATCTTTTGACAGAATTGTTGTTATACTGAAAATTCTACACAGGCTCATCACAGAAAGTGAGTGACTTCAGGTTATAACAGATGTAGAATCCAAACAAAAAGAATAGTAAGGTATCAGTACAAATATTAGCAAGTAAGATGGCTACATCTCTTTTTAAGTAAAATAAAACCCTAAGCTTGAAACCATAGCCCTATTTTGACATTTCACAAAGAATGGATCTGGTTTACACCAGACCAACCTAGCTAAATTTGCTCCAAAACTAAACCACAAATGAACACATCTAAGTTTAAATAACTTGAAAATTCTTACATAAGTGGTCATAAGAGGTCAGTTTTATGTGAGAAAAAAATCTGTAAATATATTATCCAAACTGATTTCATCTTTAGAATATTATTTTTAAATACTTTTCCAATAAAATCATTATCATGTCTGTATTTTTAACTTCAATTAGTCACCATTAAATCAGTGCATTTACTTTACTGACTTGACATTTTGTCTTATTTGAAAATTTATGTGGTTCTTGAAATGTCCATTTTAGTCAAAATAATCTTCTATATCAATATTTGGATCTAGTAGATCTTCTCCATACGATGAAAGATTCATCTGGTTTAATATTAAGTTTTCAAATGTTTCTTCTAAATCGGTTTCACCAATTAAGACAGCTCCCATCATTCGTCCATTCTGCATGACGACTTTGATGTATTCTTGTCCTTTGGTACATCTCAGCATTAATTCATGATCTGAACCCAAGTTCTGTGCATTGTATTTTCCCAACAGTACAACCTGTACATACATATGTAGGGATAAAAAAGTTATTCTAGTAAGTGCCTAAAAGGAAACATAATAGGCATTTATTTTGTTATGTTGGAAAGGCCAGCAGAAAAATCTGTTCACAAAATTTTACAGCTAAAAATGTCATTGGGGCATGTTCCAAAGAAAACATTTGAATGGTATGCATTTATTCTAGAGATGACAATACCATACAGTCTACACGAACATTAACAGTATCTAGTGAAGCCTTAGCTGCTGTGGCTCCCTAGTTAGAGCATCAGCCCACCAACTGACGGGTCACGTGTTCAATTCCCAGTCAAGGGCATGTACCTGGGTTGCAGGAGGCAACCAATTGATGTCTCTCCCCCCGACCCCTAAAAATCAAGGGGAAAAATATCCTTGGGTGAGGATAAAAAAAAATATATATATATCTATGTATCTAGTGAATATACAAATAAGTAGGATATGGACATGAGCCTGGAGTCATGATTTAAAGATTTAATAAGGAACTGAGTTAGATCTTTCATGGGCAAATTATATTATCTTCCTGAACCTTGTGTATGTGTTTGTGTGTTTCTCCTTATCAATAAATTAGGAACAATATCTTTCCTCAGACTAATGTACAGAGAATTAAGATAATTTGTATGGGAAATCACTTGGTTCACTATTGAGTATGATAGCTATTAGTTCCCCTTACAAAGAAATAATGAATCTCAAATAAAAATTAGAAATGCACCAACAGGGAACAGTCCCCTAAAGTGCCAAACAGTATAGTGGGAAGGGAGGTAATGGTTATCAGATAATTAGAAATTAATATCAGCAATAATATCAAGTACTGACTTGTATAAAATGAGAATATTTCATTTTTTTGGAAAAATGATTAAAACCATATGAATTTTTACTCAAGTAAGAAAATTAGATTATAATTAGTAACTAACAAGCAGAAAGAGGCACTAATTTGCTTATCTATCTTACCTTATAGTTAAAAAACTTTGTTACATGAGCAAAAAGTTCGAAGCTGAAATCCATGTCAATAGAGTCTCCTGAGCTAGCTGCAGCCATGCACTTCGCCGCATACCATCCCATCTGTCTAGCCTGGGTCCACAGCCTCATCTGAAATGAAAAATGTTACGCAGTATAATTTTTCATTATCGTTACCTGAAAAATGTTATCACCTTAACCTTGTAACATACCTTAAAGTGCTTCAATGCTTGACAGTCCTTGACATTGGTTAGGTCTAGATTGGTTAAAATGGTTAGATGTTTGGTTGGATCATCTTTGCCTTAGAAGCAATCACCAGTCCACACAAACCAAATTGATTTTGGTATCTGATAATTCTATCTAAATTACTGCCTCTAAAATTAAAAGATGACTCCAACTTTTATGTTTCAATAAATTTTCTCTTAAAAAATCACTAAAATACTTCAGGCTACACCAGGTGATGATAACATTTTAATGAACCAGCCTCCATTTCAGAGTAAAGTTCTCATCAGCATTAATAGAAAAGCCAAATTATCCTGAAAAATTTGTTCCTTTTCCTAATCCTCAGTTTTTGGTGCTAGATAGTTAAGGCCTACCGTGCAATTTAACCTCAATGGTCAGTCAGATTTATCACTTAGTGCCCAACCCCAAGACATCATTTCAGATTTCAGCGACTGATTCTGGGAAGTCACTTAAAATTCTTCTGTACAGCAGTATTAATTTCTTCTGTATTTTATTTTTATTGTGTTTCTACAAAGTTTTGGGATTCCCTAGTATAACAGAACACTGGCTTGGAAGTCAGTAGATTTGCATATCAACTCTTCCACATATTTAATTTTTCTGAGCCTCAGTTTCTTCACTTGAAACAAACATATACCACCTCCTCTGTGGCTCTTGGGAAAATTAAATAGGTTAGCTTATAATAAGCAATTAGTTTCTTTACACCCCTATGTGTTTGTGGAACTAATGCTGTCCTTTTGTGTGCAAAAACGATACCACAATCATGGATGTAAGCTTCAAGCATTTCTGATAAAAGGGATTTTTATTTTATTTTATTCAGCCTCCTCCCCGTATACAAGTGAGGTTTAATGAAGTACAAGAGCAGAGCAAACTGAGCACAATAAAACTAGAGGATGGCTAAAGGAAGTGGCCTGCAATATACACTGCTGGACTATTGCCTAATTGATAAACTCCAGCTTCAAAGTCCCTTTGCATCTGAGACTATGTAAAACAAATTTTAGTGTACTTGCTGCTGCTATAAATTAAGAGATGGGATCTCGTAAGATTTACTCAAAACAAGACACTTGCTTATTTTTGGCTATTTCTTTCCTATATCAGAGTATGATGCACATTAAAGATAGAATTTATCCTGGAGGGTTTTCAATGTTCTTAAAAAAATCCTCCAAACTCTAATTCCTAATTGAGAGTTTGTGACAGATATGCCCCATAAATGACATTGGATGACTACAGAAAAAACTGAAAAGCTACTTTGGAACATTTTAGAAGCAGGCTGAAAGCACTCTCTTGTCACTGATGTTCTCTGCTGTACATAAAAAACACACAAAATAATGCAGCTGCTTCTTGAAAAACATCTAGCTCTTCTAACATTTCACACTCCATGGTTAATCTGAATGAATAATATCACGACTTGTGGAGCTGGTCCCTCACCAAAATAGGTATTGACTGGTTCTTTTATCTCTAATAAATCTACCTATCTCTACTGCTCTGAAGACAACCTCACCTATAGCTACTGTGTGAGTATCTTCCTCTAGTATTTTTGCTCCACCATTAGGAGGCAGGCAACACTGTGAGGGCAGGAGGAAGTCTAGATCCAGCTGGAAGCAGCTGTTAGGCCGAAGGCCGAGGAAGCCTGTTCACTATAGGAACACTTTTTTTTTTTAATAATTCCCATAGGGGCAGAAAAGGGTCATCAGGAACACATTGTTTTTTCTATATGGCTTATAATACAGTGGTACCTCGGTTTTCGAACGTCTCTGATGACAAACATTTCGGGTTACGAACAATGTAAACCCGGAGGTAAATGCTTTGGTTTTTGAACACGCCTCAGAAGTCGAACATGCCACACAGCTTCCACTGAGGGCAAGGTCCTGAGGCCCAGCTGTCGGCTGTGGATCCCTCAGTTTTCCAACATTTCAGAACTCGGTCTTCCAGAACGGATTACATTAGAAAACTGAGGTACCACTGTATCTATAACTGTTGTTTTTTTACTCTAAAGCTGTGATGTACAATGTGGTAGCCACTAGCCATATGTAGCTATTTAAATTAATTAAAAGTAAATAAAATTTAGTTCCTCAGTCACATCAGCCACATTTCAAGTGCTCAATACACACATGTGGCTAGTGGAGACCTGACTGGGCAATGCAGAAGTACAGAACATTTTCATCATCATAGACAGTTCCACTGTAATTGTAATCACTGTAATTGTAATTCACCAAAAGGGAAACATTCTAAATTTTTTTTTAAATGTCACAAAAAACTTCTAAGATAGCTTTCTATTTAAAGTAGAAAAGTTGGAAAACCAGGAAGTTGGATTTGCTGGTAGCAACTTTTGTTTTCAGATGGAATCTTGGATAAAAACATGTGATCTTGTATGCAGCTTACCTGCTGCCAGAGTGGGCTGGGTTGCCAGGACGCAGTACAGATGTCACCTGCAGCATAGATATCAGGAAGGGATGTGTGCATATGATCATCCACTTTCAGGCCACCGTCTTCTCCTAGATCAAACTAAACAATGTTCCTCATGAGCATATGTGGTAAGAAAAATGAAACATGACTTTTCATTCTAAAGTAAAAGAACAAGTAAAATTTTTATACCATGAGTTCATCATTAATGAGAAAGTGAAAAGTAGCTGCAAAATTTAGGGGACTAAGCTGAATTTCCAGAGAATCAAATTCCTAATAAGACACAATCTCATAAAATCCTTAGAATTTCAACATCAAAAATAAACCCAATAACTTCCCTGGCCAGTGTGGCTCAAGTGGTTTAGTGTCCTCCCCTGCACCGAGAGGTCACTGGTTTGATTCCAGGTCAGGGCACATGCCTGCCTGGGGTGCCGGCTGGATGACCCCCAGTATGGGGTGTGCAGGAGGCAGCCAATATTTTTCTCCTGGATGTTTTTCTTTCCTCCTTCCTCTCTCTCTAAAAAATCAATAAAAAAATAAAAAATACCCAATAACCACATGACTAACCCACTCATAATTACAAGATTATTCTTCAGTTTTTGGAAGCTTCAAATGATATAAAGCAAAAATTTAAAGACAGTTTTTCCAAAATACCACTTTTAAGAATTCATAGCAGGTGCCAGTCTCTTACCAATATTTAGATTAAGTAAATTACACATTGAGTCCCATCAATGATGACACTTACACTGGGATTTTAAATGCTTAGGAGCTTTAAGCAGTAACAGAGTATTTCAAATCAAGATATGGGTAGAAATGAAGTTGTTTTCAGTCACTAAGTTACAGGTTTGTACAAACACGTTGAACAATTATTCAGGCTCCAGAATTAGAGATCTTAATAAATAATGAGTACTTTACAAATATGCACAGAGACAAAAAATTCCACCTTACGTTGTTGCCACAGAGAAAAGGTTCTATATTTGGAGTAACTCCCGTAGCACTAACAATGAAGTCACAGCCATATATCTTGTCGTTGGTGAGTTCCACATATACAGGCCATATCTCTTTAAAAAAAGAGGTAAAGTTTATTCTCAAATGTAATCACCACCAACTGTCCAGAGCGTTAGGTGAATATAATGACTAGAACAAATAAAGAAACAGGCAGGCAGGAGATGACTTTAAAACAACATCCGTTAATATTTTGTCTAAGGCTCATTTGCTAAAACAACTTTTAATACAATTAATGCCATCTCCTTGTTTTGGGTATGATTACCAAACTATGGCATTCTAAACATTTTTCCTTCAAATTTAGACATAGAAATTCTAACCAACTAAATTTAAATTGGTATTCATTTTACAAATTATTTCTTTTAAAATCTTTATTAATAGAGTATACTCCACTGACACTTACACTGGGATTTTAAATGCTTACGAGCTTCAAGCAGTAACAGAGTATTTCAAATTAAGACAAGATCAAACAGACTGAAAATGTATATAAATTTGGAACTACGACACAGATCTCCTAATTCCTATTCCACACTCCTGTGAGAATACTATAGTTTAGTCCAAGTAGGTTACTCACTTTTCAGTGTTTTCCCTTACTATTCAAATTAAAACTTTCCCTTTTCTATGGAAAAATTCAAAAAACGCATGACTGGAATATCTCATACACCAGGTTTGGCTGAATGTTTTTCTTCAAACGATAGTATTCTCACAGGAGTGTGGAATAGGAATTAGGAGATCTGTGTTGTAGTTCCAAATTTATATACATTTTCAGTCTGTTTGATCTCGGGGAAGTCACTTACCTCTGAGAACATCAGGTTTTTTAGTATTTGTTTTGTGTTAATCTGCAAGATATTCTGATTGACTCACAGGGTTATGAAAGTCAAACACAATGAGTCAAGCTCTATACAATTTAATTTATTAGAAAACTTAAAAAGTCATAAAAATGAAATGACTTATTTTTACTTTTTATGTTTAAATTTTATATGGAAAGCTGAAGTTGTTTTTTAATATAATAATAAAGATTAAGTTGTTTTCCTTTTAAATAAGCAGTTATTTTTTATTTTATTACTTACCTTTATCAGTTATAACTGACTGATTATGATGGTCTCTTGGAAATGTCAAGGACTTTTTCTTAGAAATTCTAAATTCTTTCTGAAGGTAGATATTCCTTACTTCACACATAGTTTCAATGTGAATCTTATGAGAAAACTAAAACAGAAATATTTTATTTAGAATCCATCTATTAACCTTTAAAATACTGTAATGCATCTGAAATGACCTTTAAGAAAATATTAATTTAAAATAGGACAGGTGTATTCCCTGTAGTCTGTATATGGAGATCTCTATCTCTTGGGATATAGAAAGAAGGCTGAGAGTCAGTTTTAGATGAATTTAATATCCACCCATCTGGTGGGCATGTGGGCCAAGTCCTTTCTTAGCACTATGGATTTTAAGTAAAGTGACCCAGCAATCCTTTGACTACATATTTGTAACCAGTCTTCAACAAATGATTCAAGAATTTAAAATTGCATTGAGACATGTTTAATCAGCATATGAAACCATACCTCTTTTGTTCCTTTAAGATTCAAGCCTTCATGCCAATCAGGTCCCAAGGCACTGCCTATATTACTGGCATTAACTTTGGTTCCAGCTTCCTTTTTCTTTCCTGAAGAGATAAACTCAATTCAAAATTCAAATGATATAAAAATTGCCAGGCAGAGAATTATGCTTGTGTTCTGCAGCTTTTAGGCCAATGATTCTTATGCATAAGTACATACAGAATGACTAAACAATCATCTGTATTAATCATTTTATTCATTATTTTAATATTTTGTGATGTAGAGCTATAAAATGGATACTCTTTCAATCAAGTATTAAGTATAAACACAATGTTTTTTGGATGTTATATATACTGATTATTTATGAAGGGTAAGAACATTAGCCAACAAATTTTGAAAATGTTATAAATTTGGGGGATGCCCTAAACTTACAAAATTTTTAAATTTTATAAGCCATACTTTTGTTTTTTTAAAAAACTTTTTAAACAATAATTGTGAAGCTTGTAAACTCATTGCATTTTTTATAAAATTACCTTAGGTGTTGTCTAATTGTAGCATCTGTTTACAAAGATGCAGGTGGACTGGTTTATTTTTCATAAAAATATATATTCTAGAAAATCTAAGGAGTCACATAAGGATATATAGAAATAAATACTACCTGTATTCCTAGCTCCAAAATATATTTTGCTAAGTTTTCTTATAGTCTTTTTCTTTATGGTTAAAAAATAGCTATATCTGTGAATTAATGAGTTAGATGCTATATTTACCTTCAGTTGTATATCTGGTTCTTTTATGTGCAATTTTAGCCTCTGGTTTTTTGGCAATGAGCTTTGAGGTCAAGAATTCAGCTGCTCCTGCATCAAAGAAAGTATTCCCAATAGCCTTATCTTTAATGGCCCAAATTACTTCACATCCTTCAATTTCATACCTAAAAGGAATATTAAAGTTACTTAGAGTAGTTTCAAAAGTCTGAGTAGGTACAAAGATATGTACCTGCAAATAACAATTCTCTCCTAAGGCACAAGTAAAGAAAATATTTTAAGGCAAACTTAGAATGATTAAAAAAGGGAATGTAACATTCGTTCAGGATAAGAGTTAAAGCAGAATAAATAATAAAAGAAATTTAACCAGTTTCCTGAAAGAACATATAAGTGATATGTATACTGACCATCAGGTAAAGTTTCATTACAATAAATGTCATTTCAAAGTGTTCTGTTTCTACAACATGGTTATAATTCAGTGTCCCGCAGGGTTCCCAGGAGTGAAATGCTTCATCTGGTTATAGTGTAATCAATTATGGATGGATGGATGGATGGTACACAGCTACTATACTGAGAATTGCAGACCTCTTTGATAACAGATATTTTATATATTACAGAAATAGTAAGATTAAATGTTGTGATACTTTGAACATTTTTTAAGGTAAGAAAGCATTTCATTGTAAATAACAGTATTAAATTATAGTTTTGCTGATAGCTGACGGAGAAAACCTGTTACTTGTGCATAAGGATTTGAAGTCCCTCTTAAAATAAATCTGTGCCTCCTCCCTTTTGGCCCAGTCTGGTTTTGATACTCTAGTTTTTCTCTGCATTTCACAAATTTCATAATTACAAATAATGACTGTTATTCCTAGTACTCAGGCAACTGAAGAACTCTTAGAGGCTTCCAACAGGATTCATCATCCTCTAAAAAACAGGGGCAAAAACTGAGTCTGAGAGTTGGAATGGATAAAATTGAGCAAAGACAGGGCTTTAGCAGATTTCTTATTTTGATACAAATTTGTCCTTTTTGTAATCAGACCTAACTTTCTGGTCTGAAAAATATCAAGACTATTCCTTGTTAGCCATCTGCTGGAAGATAAAATCACAAAGAAAGTGAATCAATGCTCTGTAGACTATAGCAGGATATTCTTCAGTGATCTGTGAATTTGAAATATCATCGTAAGATGATAATATTTCATATTCATTAATGTGTTCACATTTCCCAAACTTCCCAAAACCAGGAGCTGGGAGTGCCATATATCCTGAAACAGGAGTGACAAACCCTTTGGGTTTCATGGGCCAGACACGTAATATAACTGAGTAAACAGGACGGGCATAAGCAATAAAAAGTGGTAGGGACTATGACTAGAAATCTCTCAAGGTGTACACATTCAAACTGTTTTTTAATATAGTACACACTATAAAACATATGGGTCAAATCTAGCCGCTCACCAGTGGATGACCCTTTGAGCCTAAAGCACTGCCTAAACTCATGTTTGATAACATTTCTGCAACTGAATCCCATGAAAGTTAAAATAATTAAGTGGATTTTTGTTCTTGAAAATATATGGAAAACAATTATATTTATCTTTGATTTTTAGGATACTAAGATCTTTTCTAGTCGGCCAATAATCACATGAATCACAGAGTTTTTAAAAATACATACTTACACCAATTCAAGTGCGATACCACCATTCCCTATGATCATTATTCTTTTAGCGTTAGTAAGCTGTTTCTGAAATTCCTATATTAAAAAGAAAATGACAGCGTTTTGTATAGTGGGTAATACTGGAAGCAAGAGGCTTCACTGATAATAAATCTCCCTTTCCCACTCTGCCAGGATGCACCCTCCCAACTAATACTACAAATGTTCTCTATGTTTCACTCTAAACTGCCTTGACAGCAATGCCTCTCCTGGTCCTTGCTTTTATGTCATTACATTTGGAGTACTATTCAGAATTTCAGCAGGAGGCCCTGTCTTCAGTTTACTACATTCCCAACTATTTGACCAAATCAATTTACTAGCATAACACTGATCTGTATCATGGATACAGGGTTCTTCCTTTTCTTCTAGTCCCTCAGTCGATACACCCTGCACTTGAAACCTGCAGCATAATGGTTAAGAGCACAACCTCTGGAGTCCCTGGTTCTAGCAGTTATTAACTGGGGGCCACGGGCAAGTCGCTTAACCTCTCGAGCTTGATTCAACTATAAATGGAAGAAAGAAGGGACTATATCTCAAGGTTTCTGTAAGCATTAAGAGGATGTAGATAAAGCTGTTAGGAGTAGCATGCACATAATAATGTCTAACATTTCTTTTTAAAAATGTTATTACCATTATAAGACAGCTACTTGTTACCACCACCCTCCCTAAAAAGATCACAATGAGCTTGGAGAAAAGCCAGTGATCACTCTTAGGAGACTTTCAAAAGTACAGAATAGTACCAATGCTTCAGACTGACATCCGAATAGCTAAATTCCTCCTAAGTTACCGTTTCTATTAAATTGACCCCGAAAGTTATTGTGATATTCAATAAATAACCACTGAAACTGACTTCTTAAAAATTCTAAAACAAAAAAAAGTTAAGTTTAATTTGTCCTTTATTGAAGGAAGTAGATAATTTAAGATCTGTAAAGAGCACTGGACATGGAGATGAATGGCATGAGTTTAAACTGTACTCTGATAAACTTAATAACTACCTTAGTATAAGTAAATTGCTTAGTATCTCTATTTCTATGTCCTATTTGTAGAATGGGAGTAATGACTGTCACACAGAATTACCACAAGGACTCAATGAGTTCATGTATGTAGAGAGCGTCGCTGGAACATAGTTATGAATGCAGTCTTTGATCATATGAACCCCAAATGTTTACAAGAAGATAATCAAGTTCAAGTTTTCTCTAAACTCCGAATTATTTAAGAATAGGTTGAAACTATCGATTTTCAAGAATATAAAACACTGTTACATAAGTGTAACATTATCACCTCATGGGACAGAACAAGGAACTTGAAGTAAGACAGAGTATTGTGATTTGAAACCAGGAAAAGCAGGTTTGCAATAAGGGTCAACACCCTGAAACAAATTATCAAAAGAAGTAGTATAAGGTTCCACAGATAGAGTTTCACCTTACTGGGAGAGCTATTACTGTTCTTGAGCAGAACAATAAAGTGAGTGACTTTTCTGGCTTTAGGATTCTGTCATGATTCTGTACCAGAGATCTTCTGAGTATTAATTTCTTTGCTGAGGAATAAGTTCAGTAAGTTTTGGGTATGCTATATATTTTGGGGGAAAAATCATTACATTATTTAGGTTACAAATCACACATTCCCAATCACAGTAGAGTAATGAGTGTGTGCACAACGTAAGCTGTACCCTTCAGCATAGTCATTAAATTTGGGACATCATTTAACAGAAGGAACACAGAATATCAGCATGAATAGTAAACAAGATAGACTATCAACTAAAAACAAACTGAACTTGGCCATAATAGAACCTTATAACTACTTTCTGGTTTATGGGTCACAAAACAAAAAACTTCTCTTCTGCTCCTACAGTTTAGAGATTAACATTGTAAGTGGTACATTTTCATTCAAATGTAGAAAAAGACATCTAAGAAAAAATCTTCATGTTTATTTCTCATAACTCAACCCCAGTATTACCTGAGCACTATCTGTATCACGAATTCCTATGACGTAAGGATTTCCTTCACATATCAACTTTGGTTTAGCTCCAGCACACAGACAGAGTTGCTTATATACATGCTGACTGCCATCTTCTGTTAAAATGCACTGTAAAAACATAGAGCAATGAAGGGGAGAAGGGGAGCATTTATAAATGGGAACAATTTAATTTTAAACAGTCAAAACACAAAAGCAAAAAGTATATTAAGGTTGCCTCTTGGTGTCATTCAATAGTTTGTCACAGCAAATGCAAAGCAAAGTAAGCACAGGAATGCATTCAATCCAGTGATTCTTAATTGTCTTAGGGCCATGAATTATTTTGAGAATCTGATGAAAACTAGCCTTTCTCCCATGGAAGAAAAGGTATATTTTGCATAAAACTTAGGGAATCTCATGATGTTTAGAAAGAAATGTTGACCTTAGATGAAAATGTAAACATTTTGAAATTTTAAAATTGAGCATTCTGATGAATATTTCTCATCTCAGTGGAAGTTATTGTAAGAAGATCTAGTGAGTCTAATGGTGTAATACCTTAATCTCTATTATGGGTAAGGGGAGTTAAGTAGTGTGTGGTAGAAGAGGTTACAATGTATCTTCTTAATCCAAAAAGATTAGAAGCGCTAAAAAAGTATTGACATTCTTAGGTACAAATAATCACTTTACCAGCAAACTACACACTCTTTGGGGATTATATTTTCACCTAAGTGACAAACATGTTAAACTTAAATCCTAGCATGTACTGGCTTTGAAGATATTTATATTAATTTTTAATAACATCAATGAGTCTAAAACATTTCATAGATCCATTGTTTTTGTTTCTTAATATTGAGGAAAATCTACAGATAAGTAGTAGCATTTAGAAAGCAGATATACATGAGAGATGCTGGACTCTGTTGGAATGGTTTAGGGGTTAACATTTTTGCCATGTGTTTGGAATTATAAAACTTGGCAAATCATAACATAGCACTTACTATCCATTGAGACATTTCTGACTCATGTTAACTCTTTAGCTGCATAACATACACAAAAGCAATAATCCAACATAGTATAATGCATATAGAAACTTCATACAAGTCTTCCTTCAGACAATCTGGTTAGAGTTTTATCTGACAAACAGAAGTGAGTTACAGGCACTGACCAAATTTAAAAAATAATTTTCGCCCTGGCCAGTTGCTCAATGGTTAGAGTGTCAGCCTGCAGACCGAAGGGTCTTGGGTTCAATTTCCGGTCAAGGCACATGCCTCGGTTGCAGGTTCGATTCCTGGCCCCGGTCAACGTGAGCAGGAGGCAACCAATCGAAGTGTCTCTGTCACACTGATGTCTCTCTCTCTCTGCCCCCCTGCCAAAAAAAAATCAACAGAAAAAATACCCTTGGGTGAGGATAAAAAATTCTTTTTTAAAATTTGCATTTAACTACTGTAAAAACAAACACAAACACTCATTAGCTACTGTTAATTTTTTAGAAGTAGACACGAAGATAAAACAAATTATTTCTAATTCACTAAAGAATATGAAAGATGTATGAGAGAATGTGGACATGAACCTCATGCGAGGGCACTTTCCAAGTGACAATGGGTGGCACTCTGCTTCATCCAAATGCCCTAATATGAAGGTTCCCTCACAGTTCATTAGTGTACTTCTAAGCCTACTTCAATTTGCAAATTAACTGACAGGGCTGTTATACTGAATAAGTACTACCACTATAAGTATTAGAAACTTACTCTGGTTTTTGGATGCAGATTTTTTATTCTTTTTTCATAAAATTCATTACTTTTTCTTAATTTTTTTCCTGTCCAATTATTCGTGTTCCAAATGTGGTGTATATGTGTTTTATCCCTAAGGGAGGATTCATAAATTAGAGCTGCTTTAGAGAAACAACTACAAACTCTACTTCACATCTTGCCTAAAGCTCACTTGATACTGCTGATCACCTGATAACATCCTTTTCTGAGACTGCCTTATTCCTGACACTGTTTGGTTTTGGCCTTATATATATCATTTTGGACTATTACAACCACCTTCTAATTTGGTTGTTGTCCAGTAGCCACTCATTCCACTCCAGTTCATCCTTGACACTTATGTCAGATATATTTTTCTAAAAGAACACGTATTTCATCATTTCTGCCTCCACTTAAAATCTCTTTACTATTTCTCCCTTGATTATCAATGAACTCAATTTCTTGGCATGACATAAAAAGCTCTTCACAGTCTTATTTATTTATTTCTCCAGCCCTGTCTGCCAATCTCCTTTACTTAGCCCCACCCAAATCCCACTGACAACATTACTGTTCCACATCCCCCTTTTCCTTTCTTTGAGTCTTTGCACATGCAATCTCTTTCTGGAATGCCCCTTTCCATCTAAAGAACTCTTAATTCATCTATATTTTAAAACACAGCTCAAATATTACTCAGTCTGTGAAGTCTTTCTAAATATCTACTATCAGAGCTTTGATAATATTTCAATGACTGTGCTTTTCACATGTCCATATAATTATATGTATACATGTCTATATTCCCTATGACACTGAGAGCTCCTAGGAACAGATTCCTTATATTATTACTTATTCCTATATTATTGTGCTGACTTAATGTAGTGCCCAGAGAAGAGTGGACAGTATATAAATGTTAATGCTAATTTGAAATGTAAAACCTAAAACACCAAAAGTAAACTAATCACACAATCCCAATAAACTCACAAAAAAGTGTAAATGATTCTAATAATGGAAATCAATGTCACTAAAATTTACATGCTAGGGACTTTGGTGGTGGTACAGGTGGGGTCAAAGGAAGCTAGGCTAAAACCTCACCAAGATTTAACAAATCAAAATGTCATTAAGGAAAATATTCTCTTACATGTTCTCCACTCTTCAGTTGCTTTACTCCACATTCTATGACCTTAATGTTGGGAAAGCGGTTTTCTAACATGGTACTTGGTTGTTCTTCAACATCAAACTCTTCCAATACTTTAGAAACCTGTATTTAATCAAAGAGGTAAGAATATAAGAATATATTTTTAAAAAATTTACTTCAAGAATTTTAAATAATAAAAATAGTTCCATTTCTTTTTATACACTACTTATTTCATGTTCATAAAACAAGGACGTTGGCCAACTGCAGGAAATACAGTTGAAAGAGGGATAGATTCTGCATTTTAAGACTTAAACTCAAATACTAGTCTTACCACTCTTGGGCAAGTTGGTTAGGTCACTAAGCCTTAGTTTCCTGTCCTGTAAAATGAAGGCTACTCACCTGTAACATGAGGGTTAACACTACTTACTTCTGTGTAGTTTAATCAAACAGCTTATTTCTTTATCCTTGCAGCTTTCTCTTTTCACTTACTAGAAAACCTTATTGTGATCTAGTCTTTGGACTCTTCTTTCCTGTTCTCCAAAATCACTGGCATCCCCTTGGACTCACTTTCCCTCCTATCCTGCTGAGACTCCACTGTGGATCATTCCATCTTTTGCCCAAACCCTTTATTTCCTTGCTCTCTTATCCTTAACCATTAATTACCAGAAAATCTCCCAACCACAGATCAAACTACCTGCTTTCTCTAGTCTTTTACCCAGTTTGCTGTTGAAGAACCACACATCTTGCAGATTGGTATCTGACCTCAGTTATTCCTTTTACACTGCATGGAAATCCTACTATGTGGCCACAGCAGTTCTCAAACTTCTTAGTGTCATGACCCCTTTACACTCTTACAAATGACTGAGGACCCCAAACAGCTTTTGTTTGAGTTATACCTAGCAGTATTTGCTGCATTAGAAATGAAAGCTTATGCCTTCCTTGGCTTCAGGGATACTACTCTTTCAGTTTTCCACTTCGAACTAAGGCTTTAAGTGAAATGACATATAACAAAACCAATTTTATCACAGTCTAACTGATATAAACAAGAGTTAAGTTCCTATGGCATTTCATCGATGTTTTAACAAAATGATATTGAATGAAACAACCTTACTCAAGCATCTACCGTACATCCTAAGTCCACAACCTTGTAAAGTAAGCAAGAGTGTATTACCTGAATATTACAGGTGAAACAACTCAGGTACAGAGATTTGCCAAAGTTACAGAGCCAGTAATACCAGAGTTAGGCCTAGAACCCAAGTCATTTTCTTCTATTGTACAAAACTTACAAAACTGGCAAAAACTGAACTCAAGTCTTATAACTCTGGGATCATTACATCAAATTAAGTCTCCTGGAAAGACATGTATAAGAACCAGTTATACATCTTTCTCTTACGTATGTGTGCTTAAACTTGTAAAAAAATATCCCCTTTTTTCTTTTAGAGATTAATAGCCATAATTGTTCTCTGGTTCTTCCAATCCCATGTCTTTTGGTTGTACCTAGGTACTAAGATATCTTATGTATCTTTAGGCAGGTCATAAAGGAGTAATATATGGAACTAACTTACCCTTGGTCTTAGGGGTTTATATATATGAGAATGAGGTACGCTAACTACACATTGACCTCTTCCCTGGGAGACAATATGTAAAAGAACTTGCATAAAATATACTTTAAGACTGGAAAGGTGTGTCTGTGGGAGACGGGTAGGAGGAAGGTGGTTTTTCTTTCTTGACATCAAGTCTATTAACCTTTACATGAATAAATAATAAATCTTAGACAATGAAAAGGTTATATTCTACTATCAGGATATTATAAGGGAAAACATTTTAAATCAAAGACTACGGTTGTAGTCTTCACTGAAGTGTGGAAAAAAATATTTGTTTTTTTACCTTTTTATTCATTTATTTATTTTTTTTTGCATAGGCATTGTAACACTCATAATTATAGCACTGCAGCACAGGAATATAACTTATAAATGTATATATACTAGAATCTGAATGCAAAACTTTTTAATAGGTAAGCTACAGGATCAAAAAAATGTTTGGAGACCATTCTTCTATCATATTATGACCCAAATGATCTTAGACTCCTAATATAATGTTATAACACGTGTAATATAAATTCATGGAACTGCAAAGTGTTCTGAGATGCTTATTGTACATCTGAAACATTAATTATCTACAACTGTAAACTTGGCTCAGAAGCATTTTTGATTTGTAAATACACATGCACACACATGTATTTTATAATAAAAATATAAATACACATATATTTAGATTTCATAGCATCTTTACCCAAAAGAATCTGATTTTAAATTTTCAGAAAAGTAATTCAGAGTGGTAGGAAAAGATAGCAGGGAAAAACAGAAGACTAGAAATTCAGTATCATTCTGGGTACTTCTGGTATTCGATCTGAAAAACCCTAAACTTTGAGCTATAATTTTAAAATGAATATCAAAAGAACGTTTGTCATTTTAAACAAGTAAAACAGTACAGTTACACTGCCTGCTATGCAAGTTATTGCAATTTTGAAAAATTAATACTAAGAAAGTTATACAAAGGTTCTTACCTGCTTGAAATTTGTAACTGCTTTAATAACAGGAGAAGCTGTTACCAGGAGAATCTTTTCTGATGGAAAGTGAATCGCCAACTTATTAAAAAAAAAAGTAGGAAAAGTATATGATAAATAACTTTAGGTATTAGTATGCATGGCATGTAGGGTGAGAGAGGGATAGTACAATTTTAATAAAGTTATTAACCTAGGAAACTAACCACTGTTTCTCATCTAAGGCTTCCATTATCTGGAGTCTTGTTCATATTTACAGTGAGTAGTGTTCAACTGTGGTATTGATTAAAATGAATAATACATTTATACTAAACACCAACAAAGATCTGAACAAGAAAAGTGACATAAATAGGTATTCCTTATTTACTTAAACTATTTTATATGACAATTGAAAGTTATCATGCAGAAGATAAGGAGAAACCACCTTCCTAATTAACAATTAAACCAACTTCTATTTATTGTAAAACATTTTCATTTGCCTTCAGTAGGATGAAATTACAGTAAACCTCAATAATAAACGCTTAGAATCTTAGCCCTTTCCCCAAGTGCCTTGGCACTCCTATCCTGCCTCTTCTAAATGCCCAATCAGTAGATATTCTGGGAAGACCAAGCCATTTTAATATCAGCCTTAACAAAATGTGGTGGCTTAACATGATAGTTTCATCACTTTCCTCTAGCTACAAAAGTCTATCACTTTATACTTATTGAAAGCATTTTCCTAACTCATGCTCCAGTTTCTCAACTCCACCAATCTTTATTTCTATCCCTACTATACTATTATCCTCTGTTCAATTTAACTATACATCCTTTAAACCCACAGATTCTTTTTAATATCATCTTATTTAAATTTTCTACAGTATTTGACAATATCATCACTCTTCCCCATCTTTCTTTCCTTTGAGTATTCTGTAATCCCCCCTCCTCCAGCTTTCTGTTTCCATTGCTAGCCCAGGCCCTCAAAGCTTCTTTATACTACTAAAATCACCTTTCAATTGGCCTTCCAGTCTCATATTAACCAGCTGCCTCTGCCCCACATTATAACGAATCTTTTAAACTTTTTCATTTGATCACATTACTCCACTGCTCAAAATCATCTGACTATTTGCAAGTTCCTGGTAATTTCTTAGCATGACTTACAAGATCCTTTATGATCTGGTCTCTGCCAACCTTGCTGGCATCTCTGGTCACCTCCCCTCAGCACCATGTGCTTTAAGTTTTGCTGCTCCCAGATGATGCCATGCTTCTCCACCTGAGGCTTTACCACTGCTTCCCTGTGGAACATCTGTCTTTTCTTGTTTAAGGGATGAATTTTCACTCATTGTTCCACACTGAGACAAAAGTATACCTCCTTGGAGAAACAATACCTCTTTCCTAATTCACTCCCTACCAACTCAGCAGGCACCCCTAAGATAGCAAACACCCGGATGAAAACGTACATGTCTCTTCTACTAGGCTGTGAACCCCTAAAAAGTAGGTTCCTAAAATAAGGTAACATACTGTTTATATTCGACTAATAAGCCCTTAGTGCCTGGATCATGGGTGTTTACTTGGCAAATAAGTGGAAAATACACATTAAGATTAAAAGAGTGAAAGTTAAAAACTCTTGAATTTCTTGTAACATTTCTTATGACTCCAGTGATTGTTTACTTTATATAAAAATAATTTAGTCCTTTTTGGAATATAAAAATATGTATATCTATGGTCTGATTACTCAGTATAAGCAGAAAAGCATTCCCTAGCTGCATTCCGAATATATCTTGCTGGTTGTTTTACAAAACATTACTAGGGATGAAATATCTTCTATCTTGGGAGTTCAAAGTACAGGAAACTTATGTAAGGGCTACGATGCACCGAGGACTTGGCACCAATCTGGGAGCTGAATTCAATCTAATTACAAAGGGGGCTGAGTTTTCTGACCAAGTACTTAACCAGTCACAAGCCCTCCGCTCTGCTCTGACGTCACTAGACCAGGTCCCCAGCTCGCTCCCCGCCGCGCCCCGGGCTCTGCGCCCCGAGCGAAGCTCGCGCGGCATTAAAGACACCGGGGCCTCCCCGCAGCCTCCAATACCCCCGAGCAGGAGAGAAGGCGGGGGAGAGAGTCTCAGGAGGGCCGGG